TTTTCGAAAGCCTCTTTATCAAAAATGAACTGGCAAAAGTGCAGCGGCCTGCTGGTTGGAGCGTGGGACATGACCGAGTGTCCCGAGAAGGCAAAAGCCATCAATTGGAGCACAACATCGCTGCACCACCTGGGAGTGTTCCTAGGACCAGAGGAGGAACCACCGCAGAGGAACTGGGTCGAGCTGGAGGAGAAGGTGAAGGAGCGGCTGGGCACCTGGAGTCGCCTGTGCAAGTTCCTCACCTTCAGGACAAAGACGTTGGTGGTGAACCAGCTGGTGACGTCCATGCTGTGGCACCGGCTCTTCTCCCTGCACCCCCCATGAGCCTCGTCAACGCAATTCAGAAGCGAGTCCTCGACTTCTTCTGGTCGGGTGGAGGACACCGGGTCGCGGCTGGGGTCCTGGCCCTGCCACTGGACGAGAGCGGTCACGGGCTGGTGTGCGTGCGGAGTCAGCTGGCCACCTTCCGACTGCAGGCAGCACAAAAGTTCCTGCACCGGCCTGGAGCGTCACGGCCTCCTTCCTCCTGAAACAGCTGGGGGGCCTGCAGTGCTCCAAACAACTATTCTACATGGACCTGCAGGGCCTCCCACTGGGACAGCTGCCACCCTTCTACAGAAGCGTCCTGCAGACATGGAGCTCCCTCGCCGTCAGGAGGCTGAACCAACCGCGATCGGCCGAGGATCTGGTCTTCGAACCGATCCTCACGAACCCACAGACAAAGCTGCCATCCACCACCACCACCCCTGGCATGGAGAGGCGCCTCGCCAACGCGCGGCTCACCAGGATGGGAGATCTGGTGGAGCCCGGAACACGGGGCCGGTGGCTCGGACCAGCAGACATGGCCGCAAAGACAGGGGGGCTGCAGTTACTCCGGGTGGCTGCCCGGATCCTGGCCGAAGCCAAGGGGCCTTCTCAGCGGCAGCGGGGAGAACGCCCCCCATCGGCGTTGGGGAGGACGAGGCCCCCCTCGATCCCCCTCCACCGGAGCTCTCAGTCGTGCCACTGCATCGCCAATGCCGACAAACGAAGGCGGATCACAACCTGTGCTGGCTAGAAGACCTACCGGAGGTGGCCTTCACAAATGTAAAGAGGAAGGTGCTCTACTCCTACATGGTCCGGTTCCACCAACAGGACACCCTGAGGAACCACAAGGACCACGCCTGGAGGAGAGCCCTGCCCTGCGTCTCTCCGGAGAGGCCTCGCTGGAGGCAACTCTACTCCAGCCCGACGTACAACCGCATCGGCGACCTCAGCTGGAGCATCGCCCACGGCACCGTCACCACCAACGTCTCCCTAGCGCGCTTCACCGACACGTCCCCGGAGTGCCGGTTCTGCGGTAAAGTGGAGACGGTGGCGCAGCAATACGTGGAGTGCAAGAGCCTGGACTCGCTGTTCAAGGTCCTGAGAAACATCCTCCTAAGGTTCAGCCTCCACTTCTCCCCGACGGTCCTCATCTTTGGATACCCGAAGGGCGACGGACCCCAACATCTTCAGGGGCTGGTCAACGTGCTCTTCGGCTACGCCAAGCTCGCCATATACAGGGCGAGGAAGGTGGCCCTGGAGGGGCAACGTCCAGCCAGCAGCCTGGGCATCTTCCGCGCTCTGGTCGGAGCCAGTATGTGGCTGGAGTTCCGCCATGCGTGGCTGACCCACGCCGTGCCGGCCTTCAAGGAGCAGTGGGCGCTGGAGGAGGCCGTGTGCTCGGTGGCAGATGACGGTAGAGAGCTCTGCATGCAGATCTAAGCTACCCGTCAGAAGCCGTTTGACTGTGGGATGGGCTGCGTGCAGGTGCTGCACTTGTAGTTATAAAGAAAAGAGAGAGAGCGAGAGAGAGCCAAATGGAGTAGGAAGAGAGGGGGGCAGAGAGAGAAGGGGGGGGGGGGCGGGAGAGGGGTAGAGAGAGAGGAAAGGGGAAAGGAGAGAAAAAAAGAAAAAAATATTTTGTTGGGTCTTTCATTTAAAAGGGGGGGGGGGGGGGGGTTACATAAAGCAAAGCATAAAAAACAAAAAAAACTAAATGATGAACGGAGCAAAGTGCCGACTACACCGAGCATCTTCTTGTTTCCTCTGATCGTAAAAAAAAAGAGAGAGAGTGAGAGAGAGAGAGAGTGAGTGAGTGAGAGAGAGAGTGAGAGAGAGAGTGAGAGTGTGAGAGAGAGTGAGAGAGAGTGAGAGAGAGAGTGAGAGGGTGTGAGCGTGAGTGAGAGTGAGTGAGAGAGTGAGTGAGTGAGAGAGAGTGAGAGCGTGTGTGTGTGAGAGAGATGGAGTGCGTGAGAGGGTGTGAGCGAGAGTTAATGTGAGAGAGTGTGAGCGTGAGTGAGAGGGAGAGAGTGTGTGTGTGAGAGAGAGTGTGAGCATGAGTGAGAGAGAGTGAGTGGCAGCAGCCTGCACATCTTCCGCGCTCTGGTCGGAGCCAGGGTGTGGCTGGAGTTCCGCCGTGCGTGGCTGACCCACGCCGTGCCGGCCTTCAAGGAGCAGTGGGCGCTGGAGGAGGCCGTGTGCTCGGTGGCAGATGACGGTGGAGAGCTCTGTGCATGCAGATCTGAGCTACCCGTCGGAGGCCGTTTGACTGTGGGAAGGGCTGCGTGCTGGTGCAGCACTTGTCGTAGTTATATAAAAAAGAGCAAGCGAGAGAGAGCGAAAAAGAGCGAGAGCGACATGGAGTAGGGAGAGAGGGGGTAGAGAGAGAGAGGGGGCAGAGAGGGGGGTAGAGAGAGAGTGAAGGGGGGGGGGTTACATAAAGCATTAAAAAAACTAAATAATGAACGAAGCAAAGTGCCGACTACACCGAGGATATTCGTGTTTCCTCTGATCGTAAAAAAAAGAGAGAGTGAGTGAGAGGGAGTGATTGAGAGAGAGTGAATGAGTGTGTGTGAGAGTGCATGAGAGAGAAATGCGAGTTGTGTGAGAATAGAGACATGAGTGGTAGGGGGAGAGAGGAGAGAGCGAGGCAGAGTAGTGGATAGAGGAGAGTGTGTGTGAGAGAGTCGGTGAGTATTGGGAGACTGATATAGGGTGGAGCGAGTGAGAGAGGGGAGCGAAGTGGGGATGGGAGAGTCGTGCGGTGCGAGAATGTCAACGCCTGGTAAGAGTGGAGAGGGGAAGGCGTGTGCAGTGAGAGAGCGTGGGAGAGAGAGAGTGGGAGAGAGAGAGAGTGGGAGAGCGTGGGAGAGAGAGTGGGAGAGAGAGAGAGCGTGGGAGAGAGAGAGGGAGTGGGAGAGAGAGTGGGAGAGCGTGGGAGAGAGTGGGAGAGAGAGAGAGCATGGGAGGGCATGGGAGAGAGCGTGGGAGAGAGAGAGAGTGGGAGAGAGCGTGGGAGAGAGAGTGGGAGAGCGGGAGAGAGTGGGGGAGAGAGAGAGTGGAAGAGCGAGTGGGAGAGAGAGCGTGGGAGAGAGAGAGAGCGGGAGAGAGCATGGGAGAGAGAGAGTGTGGGAGAGAGTGGGAGAGAGAGAGATTGGGGGAGAGAGAGCGTGGGAGAGAGAGCGGGAGAGAGCGGGAGATAGTGGGAGAGAGTGGGAGAGAGAGCGGGAGAGAGAGAGTGGGAGAGAGCGTGGGAGAGAGAGTGGGAGAGCGGGAGGGAGCGCGAGAGAGAGAGCGCGAGGGAGTTTTAAAACCCAATTTTTATTGCTGCCAAGCAGAAAAAAAACACTGGAGCGGATTTCGATACAAGATCACGTCGAATACAGCATCGCGTGCGCGCGTCACAACACGCTGCCCCGCGGGCACATGTGTGCCTGCACGTGCCACGCGCATCGCCAACACCGTGCCGTCGCACACACGCCACGCGCGACCAACTAGGCCGGTGAAAAAGTAAAATGAAGAATTCTGTTTGCGCCGGTGCGGAGGGCTTGACCGGCGCCCCCACCGTTTGAAGACCACGCACGCGCCCTCCGGCATCGCGCGGCGGTACGCGTGCTCCAGATGGCGCCGTGCCTGGGGCATATTTGTGAAGGAGTGCAGTCGAGACGGAAGTCGACAGAGAGGGAGAGAGGCAGAGAGAGAGGGGCAGAGAGAGAGAGAGAGGCAGAGAGAGAGGCAGAGAGAGAGGGGGAATGGGAGGGAGGAGACGGGGACGAGAGGGAGAGGCAGGCAGCCGCTCTCTTATCAGGAAGGACACTCGGCATGGCTGCGCGTGGCGTTCCCCTTATCAGCTCTCGGGCTCCCATTCATCACAGAGACGCGCGCACGCACGCACGCTCACTCGCACACGCTCGCGCACACGCTCGCTCACTCGCACACGCTCACGCACACGCTCGCTCACGCACGCTCACTCGCACACGCACGCGCACGCTCATGCACGCTCACTCGCACACGCACACACGCTCACACGTGCACACTCGCAAATGCGCACACGCTCGCACACGCTCGCACACGCTCACACACACGCACTCACACACACGCTCACACACACGCACTCACACACACGTGCAGACTCGCACACACAACACACGCACACTCAAGCCCTTACGCACTCTCACAAACGCACACACACACGCTCTCTCACAAACGCACACTTGTACTCACTCTCTCACACGCACACTTGTACTCACTCACACACGCGGCGGTTATCTGAACCGGTCCTGGGCCTCCCCCAGGTGGACTCAGCCTAAAAATGAGCTGTACGGTGCGGTGTTTGAACATCGCCGCCGGGGAGACAAAGGCGGCCGGGCGTGGCGCTGGCCACCCCCCCCCCCCCTCGTGTGCCATGCCGGCCATCATAGGTGCTGCTCGCTAACAGCACTTGCCCCAACAGTCTGTTAAATGTCCCGTACGGGGGATCTTTGTCTTTTTTTTTGGTGTGCATTCGTGTTTAATTGTTACGTGCGTGTGCACACGTTTGGGTCCAGTGTGTCGTTGCGGAGAATCAAAGTAACGCGACAGTTAAACGCAATTGTGTTGAACCGATGCCGCTCGTGATATTTCATTTGTTGAGGCTGTAATGTGTGTGTGTGTGGGGGGGGGGTGGGGGTGTGTGTATCTTTGTCTTTGTGTTGCAGGCTCCACGCTGGAAGGCACGATCAGCTGTCGCAAGCAACGCAAGGACCGTCGCTCGCTCGACATCTCGCTGACCATCGGCTCCGTGCGTGCTCGCTACTTCATGCAGTGAAATCCACCGCTGGATGAGACCCAGGAGGCAGCGCGACGGCCGTGACACCTCAGCCGGCATCGCCGAGGTCCTGCGTGAACATCTCGCCCACCGTGTGGTGCCCCCTGTCACCGCGGGCACCGTGGTTGGCGAGATGTTGACCACCTCGCCTGGTACGCGGGAGGTCGTGGGTTCGATCCCGACCCTGACGCCTGCTGCTGTGTATTTGCAGTTTGCGTTTCTCATAATCATCACGGTGACTAGGAGATGTTGACCACCTCGCCTGGTACGCAGGAGGTCGTGGGTTCAATCCCAACCCTGACGCCTGCTGCTGCTGTATATTTGCAGTTTGCGTGTCTCTCTCTCTCGCCGTGGTCGCGTATGTTATTCGCCTTTCCCCCTCCAAATTTGGAATCAACATCACGCATTGAGAGTTATTTGGCTGCTCTACATTTCCACGTGATGATGATGATGACGACGAGCCACTTCGATGAGCTGTCATTTGTGATAGCCGGGTCCGCTTCTGAAAATGTAACAAAATAGCTCAGGGCGGCCTTACCTGATGAAATAAAACATAGTTTAGTTTTATAAAATCTGAACTCCAGCCTCCCGCGATTTATCCGGCTTGTCGAGTGTGCACCGTTGACAGTCTCGGCCTCGCCATAATGTGAAGACCACAGTTCTCAAGGGCGGAGAGTTGACGTTCTCACTCAGGTCCTGATACGAGGGGCAGGGACCAGACTACGAAACGACTTGAGGCATCGTAGCGACGTTGTAAGTTCGGGTCAAGATACAATTTTCCGTAACTCCCGAGCAAACAGGGGACAACCATTAGACGTCGTAAAATTACGAGACGTTGGGTGGTCAGGACCCGCTCGTAAGTCGATAGTAAAACGAGAATATGGCGTGAATACAACGATAGGTAACGTGATTAACAACATTCGTTAATAACCCCATCGCACGAAGCAATGAGATCATGGCGACCATGTTACATGGGGGGGGCATGGCGGCCATGTTACATGGGGGGGCATGGTGGCCATTTTACATGGGGGGCATGGCGGCCATGTTGCCACGGGGGTCGTCTTCCTCGCTCCCGATTGGCTGATTGCGGTGGGAGTGATTACGCAACTCCAAACAATAGCTGTTACGTGGGCAAGAATTCGGATCCCACTACAGACACCCGTATTTAGTTTACATTGTAGTAGTTGGCTCTCGCGATCAAAATCCATAATAACTATGAATGTGTCGTTATACCCGCCACCACCCGACACGGCCAATTAGCAAAGGTTTGTCACGTAAACAAGAAGTGCCAATTCGTTACCGGTTAAGAATAACCGTTTTAACATCATGAGGCCTCCTTTGCCAGTAGCAAAATATAATAATAGGTTTTTGACCCTTTTTTCTGACAAAAAAACTGACACCTTTTTACAAGGAATCATGTTTGCATTAACCACAATACCTGCGGTCACAATACAAACAAAAGACCTATTACATTTTGCTACTGGCAAAGGAGGCCTCATTAGTTAGTTCCATTAGTTTAATTTATTTGGTATAGCCCTGTGAGCCATTCGGCTCTTGAATCGGGTGCAACCACAACAAACAAAAACACGACCAAGAAAACATCTTAAAGTGACTTTGTGTGACTGTGCAAACAGAAAATCCAGGAAAAAAACATCAAAATATTCCTGAAAAAAGCACCGTACACCAACGCTGTGTGCAAAAATTCCAGTGGGATGCAAGTAAAACAACAACAACAAGAAAACTAAGATTAAGGCCATCAGTCTAACTCTGTACTACAATAAACAAAAACATGGCCAAACCAAAAAACTTTTCGAAATCACCAAAATAAAGCCATAAATGCAATGTAACAGTGATCATAGGGACTTTGACCGAATTTTTTACAATAAACTACATATATAACATGTAACACAAAACCCTAGAGCCATGATGTTAATGCTTACCCCAAACCTCATACTCTGGTGTGTTGTCTTTGAGTTGTGCTCCTTTTGGCGTCATCTGGTCCAACACCAATGTGAGACTAGGCTCTTAAGAAAAGCTGTCTCTGGTGTGGACCAATCAATTTCAAGGACAATGCAGTCGACCTAGGGGAGGCCCAGAAGCGGTTGAAATAATCGTCACCGGTGGTGGCCGTGAGCGGGAATCGAACTCGGGTTGCCAGGTTCATAGCGAGGCGTAGCGCTAACCGCTACACTACAATGCGTTACGCTTCCATACACACACAGACACACACACAGATACACACACACAGACACACACAGACACACACACAGAGACACACAGACACACAGACAGACACACACACAGCGCGCTAACCACTACACTACAATGCGTTACGCTTCCACGTGCGCGGGTCACGTGACAGATTTGACGTCACAGCTCACTTGCCGTGCAAAAAATAAATGCATTATTGAGCTCCCCCCCCCCCCAAAAAAAACAAGTATATTTTTTTTATAATTGTTGCATGGTGTACAGTCTGGAAAGTAACCACATGGCACATTTCAAATTTTTGTTGCATGTCGGGAAGTAGGCTAAAACATTTTGAACAGACACACAATCACAACTTTGCCTTTTATATATATGGAGGTAATATTGGTCGCGAAAGCCGACTACGTGTTCAACCGACACCCCGTGTCACCCAAAGAGACTTGGGGCAAGTGCTGTTAGCGAATAGCACCAAATGAAGGCTGGCAGCCCCACACGAAAGTGAGTGGGCGGCCAGCATCACGCACGACCGCCTTTGTCTCCCCAGTGACGATGTTTACTACACACCGTGCCTAGGTTACTCATTTGAGGCCGAGTCGACCTAGGGGAGCCCCAGGACCGATTCAGATAATCGTCACTGGCGTTGTTGGCCGCGAGCGGGAATCGAACTCTGCTGGGCGGGTTCGTAGCGCAATGCGCTAACCGCTACAAAGACAAAGAACCCCCGTATAGCCTGTAAGAGACTGTTGGGGCAAGCGCTGTAAGCAAGTAGCAGCACCCATAGCCAGCACCACACAGACAAAGATCCCCCGTATAGCTTCAACAGACTGTCGGGGCAAGTGCCGTTCGCGAGCACCTATGAAGGCCGGCACGGCACACACGAGGGGGTGGATAGCTAGCACCGCAAAGACAAAGATCCCCCGTATAGCCTCAACAGAATGTCGGGGCAAGTGCCGATCGCGAGCACCTTTGAAGGCCGGCACGGCACACACGAGGGGGTGGGTGGCCAACACGACGCACACAGACACGCACAGGGTCGTGCGTTGTGGTCGCGACATGCACCCCTCTGGCAAATCGCACCATCCTTCCTGCCTGTCCACCGTAATTGATGACACGCGCCCTTTACAAGGTAGCATTGTTACAGGCACCTGAAATCCCCCGGCTCTCGCCTCGACCGCCCCCACCCCCCCTCCTCCGACCGGGAGAGACGGAAATGGAAGCGGCCAAGCTCTCGCCACTGCTGATGGTTGTGAATAGCCACAGCTGATGGTTGTGCATCGCCGCTGCTGATGGTTGTGCATCGCCACAGCTGATGGTTGTGAATAGCCACAGCTGATGGTTGTGAATTGCCACAGCTGATGGTTGTGCATCGCCACTGCTGATTGTTGTGAATAGCCACAGCTGATGGTTGTGCATCGCCACAGCTGATGGTTGTGCATCGCCACAGCTGATGGTTGTGCATCGCCACAGCTGATCGTTGTGAATAGCCACAGCTGATGGTTGTGAATAGCCACTGCTGATGGTTGCGCATCGCCGCTGCTGATGGTTGTGCATCGCCACAGCTGATGGTTGTGAATAGCCACAGCTGATGGTTGTGAATAGCCACAGCTGATGGTTGTGAATAGCCACAGCTGATGGTTGTGCATCACCGCTGCTGATGGTTGTGCATCGCCGCTGCTGATGGTTGTGAATAGCCACAGCTGATGGTTGTGCATCGCCACAACTGATGGTTGTGAATAGCCACAGCTGATGGTTGTGCATCGCCACAGCTGATGGTTGTGAATAGCCACAGCTGATCGTTATGCATCGCCGCTGCTGATGGTTGTGAATAGCCACAGCTGATGGTTGTGAATAGCCACAGCTGATGGTTGTGCATCGCCACAGCTGATGGTTGTGCATCGCCACAGCGGATGGTTGTGCATCGCCGCTGCTGATGGTTGTGAATAGCCACAGCGGATGGTTGTGAATAGCCACAGCTGATGGTTGTGAATAGCCACAGCTGATGGTTGTGAATAGCCACAGCTGATGGTTGTGAATAGCCACAGCTGATGGTTGTGCATCGCCACTGCTGATTGTTGTGCATCGCCGCTGCTGATGGTTGTGAACAGCCACTGCTGATGGTTGTGAATAGCCACAGCTGATGGTTGTGCATCGCCACAGCTGATGGTTGTGCATCGCCACTGCTGATGGTTGTGAATAGCCACAGCTGATGGTTGTGAATAGCCACAGCTGATGGTTGTGACTAGCCACAGCTGATGGTTGTGAATAGCCACTGCTGATAGTTGTGCATCGCCTCTGCTGATGGTTGTTCGTAGCCACAGCTGATGGTTGTGCATCGCCGCTGCTGATGGTTGTGCATCGCCACAGCTGATGGTTGTGCATCGCCACAGCTGATGGTTGTGAATAGCCACAGCTGATGGTTGTGCATCGCCGCTGCTGATGGTTGTGCATCGCCACAGCTGATGGTTGTGCATCGCCACTGCTGATGGTTGTGCATAGACGCTGCTGATGGTTGTGCATCGCCGCTGCTGATGGTTGTGCATCGCCGCAGAGGGGCAAGCTTTCCCCGTCTTTGCGAGTAGCGCAGTAACGGAATCCCCGCAAGGCGGGGGTCGGTCGGTCGCTCTCTCGGAGCAAGCAAAGTCGCGTTACTCCGTAGTCGCTACGATGTCAACTCCCAGCCGCCCCCCCCCCCCCCCCAAGCTATTTGTGCCACTGTTAATAATGTCGAGCTTTGGTGGATCCTGTATCCCCCATAGCTGTCAACTCGTTCGGGTTTACCCCGTATTCTTGTGCGGGGAAAATTGAGTTTTCAGGTCCGTACGGCGTACAGCCGTTTGAATACGGGCAAAATAAAAAAATAAAAAATGTGCGTGTGTATTTGCGTTTCTCCCTTGTGATGGGACTTTGTAGGATGAACGTTGAGATTTTTAAGGGGCACGGGGGTGACCAACAAGGTCTGAATTGGTCTGTGTCAAAGGGGTTTGACGGGTATGTGATACAGTAGTGGAAATTCCACA